TTGCCGCCGATTCTCGCAGCCACGGCATCAGAGGAACACAAAGCGGTTTCACCATCAGATCTGGGAGCTCCGCGCTGGCTTTTCGGATCGGCGCTGCCAGCGCCGACCCGAGAAGTTCGCGCGGAGCTCCGAGAGATTCTGTTCAGATCGGCGAAAAGGCCCCGACAGTGCTACCGCGTGCTCCTGGGCGGGGCGAGCCATCGGGTCCCCACCGACGAACACTGGGCGACCAGGCTTCCCCTGATGCCTGCGCTGCCTCTGCCAAGCCACGCGCGAACAGTCCTCGAGCCAAAATGGCTACGGCCTGGGGGATGACGGCGAGGCGGGAAAGGGCAACCGGAGGAAGGAGGAGCGAGGTGGACCGGAGGACATAGTGACGGCAGGAACGGACAGGAGGATGAGGAGAGGATAGCAGGAGAAAGGGGAGGGTAGTGTACAGGTCGGTAGGCAAGGAGGCTCGCGGGAGGAGGAGGGGGAGACGCGAAGGAGAGCGAGACTGAAGGCAAGTTGTGTGGAGAAGCGATTTCGGTCTTGGAGCATCGTTTAACCGATCCCCATCCCCAGCGGCGTGGCCTGGGCACCCCTGGCCGAATTGACCCCCCCTAGATGGGGACATAGGCCGTTCCCTTTGGGTTTCTAGGGGTGTACCCCCCACTGGGGTGGTAATTCGGTGGGGTCTCGAAGGGGATGAGGATGGGGATGGGGATGGGCTAAGCGATACTGACTTGCCCCGTTGACGTGATCATGTCAGCCGATGTGATGCACGTCTCCTCTCCTTTTCGCGAGGGCGCGGCCGGCGCTCCGAGCCAAGTGCGTACAACAAGCGATACTTGCAGGGGTGAGGAAAACATAATGGATAGCCAGTGGAGAAGCAAAACTCACAATAGAGACAATGTATGAGTGGGCGTCCTCCGCGTAAACCCTCATCGTAAGGAGGCATGCTGAGCGGGCTTTGCGCACTAGCTGGGAAACAATGGTCGGTCCCTGACAACGGATTGGGGGCGCGGGTCCAACAAATTGCCAAATCAAACAACGGCACCGAACAAACAACTGAAATCCAACCAGTCCAAATGAACCCGATGATCCGCTTTGCAGGCTTTGCTGAGCATGGCGTGAAAATCACTTCTGGAACTACAGGACATCCATATCGATCACCTATTTCATATGGCCTTCGCGCGTTGGTACAAAGCCCACGACATCTCGCTGCGGGTACTACTCTTGGGCACGACCCAGGAAGGTTGGCTAGCAGCATTGCTATCGGACGCCGCCTCCTGACCCTGCGCCTGGTCAGGTGTCTGAGGAAGGCCAATTGCATTGCTACTGAACCATCCTCCATGGCACTCCTGACGCTGAGCCTGATAAGCTGGGAAAACAGGACCGGCAGCGTTGCTGCCGCGTTCCGGCCCCTGACCATCTCGGCAGACGGGTTGGCGTGCCCTCGCTTTGCCCCGCCGCGTGCCAAATCATGTAGTTCGGTGAGTGGCACCTCCTTGCGCTGGAGCGCATCTTGAGGTATTCTTGATAAATTATAGCCATGCCGTTTCGTAGCGGTTGTAGTAATATTGCGCCGTTCGCATCATTAGCTCCTGTAGTGCAAATAGTTTGATCTTGCGCTTCATGCTGAACACTGCTTTATGTAACTACGGTGGGTGACACACAGCTTTTCTCAGCCTGAGGGAACGCAATCGAAACAAATGCCACGTGGCGTATATGTTCACGCTCATGCCCAGCGGTGTGCAGCACAACACAACACATGCACGATGACACTTAACGATTCATTGATGACCGTTGAACTGCTTCTAGGCACGGAGCGCGAAACCCAGACACCCGACGTCATGATCTTGTCATGTCGACCCCACGAGGTCTTGACCCACTCCCCGGGACCGGCTGTTCATGCTGAATCGCGTTTACGGCCCCGAGGCCCGATGAGGGCCCGCAGAGGCCGAAAGCAGAGAAGCACCTTCTGTCGTGGCTGTTTCGCGACCCGCCCGAGGGGGTCTTAACAGGGGATATGTCGACCCCTATCCCAGGCTTCGTGGGGTTTCCGAATGGACCAGCAATTTGGGGCCTAACCCTGGGATATACGATGGGGGGGTGTCCATTCTCGATAGGGGTGCGTCCGAATAGCCCCCTTGGGGTGTATCCCAGGGTTTTCCCATTCTTCTGAGCGGCCTGACTTTTCGAGACAGAGCCACCGATCCCGGCACTCGCTCGCGGGGCGCTCCGGGAGCCCCTGCGGAACCCTCCAGGGACCCGTCCTGGTCCGCTCCGTGGAAAAGAACTCCAGGGAGGGCCTCCGGGAGCCCGCAGGACCTCCATGCGGTCCTCGAGGTGCTTCCTTCCTCCTCCTCCCCCTCCTCCTCCCCCTCCTCCTCCTCCTCCTCCTCCTCTCCCTCCTCCTCTCCCTCCTCCTCCTCCTCCTCCTCCTCCTCTTCCTCCTCATTCTCCTCCACCCCTCATGCACAATCACAACCCGTCCCACGAACGCAGAATGCTACCCGCCACTTCCCTCCGCTCAGCAACCGTGCACGCTGTTGCGCGTGCCACTGCTGGGTGCCAGCGGTCCTGCCCAGCGCCTGGAGCAACGAGCCCTCTCTCCACACCAAGCCTTCCTCACTCCTCCCTCCCTCTTGGTCCACCTACCTCCGTATTGCTTCCCCGTCCTCATCATCCCTCCCGCCTTCACAGTCTTCCCCCGCTCCTCTTCTCTCCAGCTCCCCCTAGGGGAGACCCTAAGAAACCTGAAGAGAACCCTACAATCACAGAGTCCCCTGGCAGCCTCGGAGAGCACCCGATCGTCTCCGAAGGCCTCACCCCTCTCCCTCATCCAAACTCATCCGCCCTCGATCCTCATATTCGCCTCCATCCTTCTGCTCCCTCCGCCTCCCCCCTCAACCCTCCCTTGAGGGGCAGCGATAGAGGGGGGGGGGCCTGGCATAAGGGGGAGAACGTCGACCTGGAATCGGCGACGCATCGCCGATAGATCGGCGATACAGTCGGGGCGTTGACCTAAGGAACCCTAAATTAGGAACGAGGCTCCTTTTTTCCATGCATTGAACTTCGATTTCCCATCGAACACCTACGGAAAACAGAAGGCAAACTGTAAAACAATTAAGGAACACGGAGCCCCTCCCAAACGAGAAGGGTTCCTTCTTCAGCGCCCCGATTGCTAACCCGCACTTTCCAGGACGGGTCGTGGACATCGGGCCCGTGTCGGCGATCGATGGGCCATGGGGGGTCGATGCATCACCCCCCTGTTCCTAACCCTCCCCCCGTTCGATGCCCCTGATCCCTCCTCCTCTTCCTCTCCTCCTCCTCCTTCTCATCCTCCTCCTCCCCCTTCCTCCTCCTCCTCCTCCTCCTCCTCCTCCTCCTCCTTCCCCCCAACGTCTCCTCCTGCCTTGACGGCCGAAAGGCTGAGCCCGTGTCCGTCTTCCTCCCCACCCAAGCCCCCAACACATCACTGTGCTCACCGCCTCCCACCGTTCCGCGGAAAGCAGTAAGGGGTGCATGCTAAACGAATAGCGTCACGGCCCCTGTTTCTATGAAAGTAGTTCGCAGTACTTTCTGTTCCCTCCCGTATGGGACTCGTCTGCACATGGCTGGGGGGGTTCATGGTAGCCATGATTTGCAGTACAACTCTGTGCTGAAGGTTTGGTTTTGCGCGTCCCACGGCCATTGCGGCCAGACTCAGCTGGCCAACCTCAACGACGATTGTCCATGCGTTGTCACCCCATCTCGGCAGGAAAACTTAAATCGCCTGGCAGCCCACATTGTGGCCCAACGCGCTCAGCCATGCTGGGACAGTCGCGAAAGGTGAGATTGTACTTAAGCTCGGCGATCGGCGGTGGCCCGATCCGAGCGAGCGGGGGAGCGGCGCGAAGCGCGCGCGCGCGCCCGAGCCGCCCGTTCGACAAGGACTAGGGCCGACACCCCCGGCCATTGCCGAGCTTGTTGCTGCTGCCGCGGAATATTGACTTCATCACTTAGTCATTGCCTCAGCTCATCTCATCCCATCTCACCTTATAGCAATACATACCAGCGACGCACGCGGCGGCGGCGGCGGCGCGCGAGGCACGCCTGCCGCCAGGGGCACGCCTCCTCCTCCTCGCAGCTGAGGCAAATGACGCACTCCTCTCCCGCGGCGGGCGCCGCGCGGCCGGTCGGCGGCGAGGGCCGGCGGCGGCGCGCGGCGGCGGCGGGCGCCGAAGGACGGCGGCGGCGGCTCTGCCGATCCCGGCCCGTGCCAGTGAACACAAATACAGTCGGGGCGTTGACCTAAGGAAACCTAAATAAGGAACGAAGCCCCTTTTTTCCATAAGTTAACCTTCGACTTCCTGTCGAAAGCATAAGGAAAGCCTGAGGCAAGCTGTGAAACACTTAAGGAACGCGGAGCCCCTCCCCAACGAAAAGGGTTCCTTCTTCAGGGCCCCGACTGTAGCGAGCGTGGCCAGATATAGCAAGGCATTACATACAAGGATGGCATGGCCAGATACCGCAGTAAAAGCACGGCCGGACACACAGAGAGTGAAAGCATGGACACGAAATACCAGCATGGTCAGACACACATCATGAAACAACACCACTCGTTGTTCGTTCATGACGCCCGTGTCCCACCGGAAGTTAAGCAACACGGGCGAGATGCCCAACGTGATCGATGATTGACTCGGGGGCGGCCAAGAGGGGGGCGTCCAAGAGGGGGGGGCGCAAATCGTGGCTGGCGGCATGAGCGCGGCCCAAGGGGGGGGGCCTGAGACGTAATGAAATACTAAGAGGCGCCATGAAATCTGAGGAGATATCATGGCCCACTCCATGATACCCACCCCCCCTGGTCATCACCCCCCTCTTGGCCGCCCCCGATTGACTCTGGAGACGATCCCTTTCCAGCAGACCGGGAAGCGCGGCCTCCGAGGCCGCCGAGATGACCTGCGGCTCCCAGGCCACGGCGCCCTCGGACGAGTCAGGTTGAGGTGTTCAGATGCCAGGCGAAGGCTGGCAAACCCGTGGCTGCTAAAACTGAGCTCTGGGAATTGTTTTTTTGTTCTGGGAAAAAAACCTGTTTACTATTTAGTGCGCTGACATTTCTTCGGGGAATTGCTTTCTTCCGGGAAGACCGTTTTAACAGCCACGTATTTGCCAACCCTCGCCCAACTTCCGAGATGTGACGGCCTCGCCGATGTACTCCCGCCTGTCTGCTGCCAAGCGGATTCCCTCCGTCCTCCTCCTCGCCCTCATCGTCCTCCTGCTGCTTTCCGCGCCCTCCTAGTCCCTCCTAGTATTCAAAAGCGTCCCACCCTCCCCAGTCCCGATGCATAGCGAGAGCCGAGGTTGCCGGGCATGCTTTTTTGTCTGTTCCTGGAGGCTGGCCCTCGCAGCAGCGTTTCTGTAAGTGGTCCCGGTGCCCGGGGGCCCCCGAGGAGAGGCCCCCAGGCGCCGCCCTGAGGGCCTCTTTGGGTCTTCTTGGCGGCGGCCGGGTCCTTCTGGAGGGCTCCACTGCAGGTGCCTTGGGGGCGTCTGGGGTCCCTCCACGATCCCTCCACCCCTCCATGCCTCCCTCCCTGCTCCGCCCCTTCCTCGCCCTCCCGCCGCGTGGCCGAGCATCTGGCTCGTCGCCGTCATCCTCCCCCATCCAATCTCCCTCCATCTCCACCCTTCCCCCCCTCTCCCTCCTAATCCCTCCACAAAGCTTCGAAGCTGCGGTCAGTTTCGAGCAGATGTATCCCTCCTCCTCCTGCTCCTCCTCTTCCTAATATCCTTCTTCCTCTTCCTCCTCCTCCTCCTCCTCCTCCTCCTCGCTCTGCCCCACTTACCCCTCCTTCCTCCCCTCTTCTTCCCTCCCCCCGACTCCTCCTCGTCCGCAAGGAGGGTCCTCGTCTGCAGGGACGGCCTCCGCAGGCGGCCGGGCGACGGCCTCGACGACCTCTGCGCGGGCCAGAGGAGGAGGTGTTGGAGGTGTTGGGGGGCGGAGAGAGGAGCGGGGATTCCCTGCTACTCGCCCCTCCCTGCCGGGGAGGGACGGGGGAGGAGGAGGAGGAGGAGGAGGAGGAGGAGGAGGAGGAGGAGGAGGAGGAGGAGGAGGAGGAGGAGGAGGAGGAGGAGGAGGAGAGGAGGACAGGAGGAACAGGAGGAGGGGAGGAGAAACAGGAGGAGGAGGAAGGAGGAGAGAGGAGGAGGAGGAGGAGGAGGAGGAGGAGGAGGAGGAGGGTGTGTTGGCCTGTTCTCCGATGGGCTCGTCGAGACCGCGGAACGGTCTCCTTACTCGGGGTACGTTCACCGCGTGCTCAGAGCGCGCACGGCGCCCGCGCCTTGTCGCAGTGTGCCGCCCACGCCCGCTTGGACCCTCTGCTCGGCACTGGTCAAGCGCTCGGCCACCTCGCCCGGGCGATGCTTTGAACGTTGGCGCGCCTCCTCAATTCATCAGATGTCGAGCCTGAGTTCCAAGGACTTCTTTTGCCTCGCGAGTCGTGAGCGGCGTGGCTTTGGGGCAGCAGGCTCCAGAACCCCAGGAGTCTGGTGGGATCATCACAGACACCATACTGACACGGAGGCACGTGCAGCTGTTTCCTGCGGGGTGGCAGGCGTCCATGTACCTCGGAGCGCTGGGCACTGGCTGCTGCTGGTCCCATGGCAAACCACAGACGGGATGCTGCTTGCACAAGTCCCGACTGTAGGTGCATCCCTAGCAAGAGGGCGCACGCGCACTTCACGTGTAGCGCCTCCTGTATGAAGGAGGAGGAGGAGGAGGAGGACGCATTACAGTATACTGGTGCTGACAATGTAAGTGAGAGGATGCAGACGTACAGCCTCTTAGAACCCATCCCTATCGACCCCAGCAAAACACCCAGTCTCACAGCCTTGCTCTGGCAACGGCAAGAAATCCAAGCCCCCGTCCTCGCCTTCACTTCAACTCCTTCTCCTCCCTCCTCGTTATAATCCTCGATTGTTCATTCTTCTTCTTCTTCTCCTCCTCCTCCTCCTCCTCCTCCTTCTCCTCCTCCTCCTCTTCCTCCCCCTCCTCCTCCACCCGCGGCGACGACGATCGCGTTCTCGCCTATGAAGACGACGATCACAACCAAGACGGCGACAACGAAGACGACGAGGAGTACGACTACCACGACGACGAGGAAGACGACGATGGTGGCGACACCGTGGAGGACGACGACAATGACAACAAGGACGTTGACGAGGACGACGATGACGAACGCGACGAGGACGAAAACGACGACGAACACATCGACGGCGGCACCGACGAAGGCGCTGGGCGCGGCGGCGACGGGCAGACGCGGCCTCGGGGTCGGTGCCGCACAGTTCGCTCAGGCGCTGCACGAGGGACCGGATGGTGAGCAGCGACGCGAAGGCGGTGAAGAGGAGGACAGCCTCCGCGCCGCGCCGCAAGGTCTCACGGCTTGCAACGCTGCTGGCCGATGGGAAAGGCAGGCGGGCGGCGAGCCCGACAGCGGTCTTTCCACGGCAACATCGGCAATGTTGGCCTCGTCCTCGAGCACGGCGCGTCCCCCGCAACAGAACCATGCCGTGGCGTGGGGCGGGACAGAGCCTGGCCGCCGCCGAATCGCCGAATGCACGCGCACCTGCGTACGCACGCAGAAGGTTCGACATCAAGCCGTGAAGCGACGAGGCAAACCCCGAGCGCACAATTGGCATAAAGAAGCTCCTGATGAAAAGTTGTCCAGAAGGCCTGGGCCCCCCCCAGGAACGACATTGAAGGGGCCCTGGGACACACAAATAAATACACACAAATAAACGGATTCCCCATATTTTCCCATCCTTTCTGGGTTTCTGTCTTCCCTCCACTCCCCATATTTTCCTGTATTTTCTGGGGAATCGACGAATAATTGAGTCTGTGTGTTTTTCCCCTCCTGAGAAATTTTGCCCCGCTCAAAGTGATGTCCTGCTGTCGGCCCTGGAGCCCGTGGAAGGCCACAAAGGGCCACGCGGGGCAAGAAACGGAGAGAAACCGCGTGGACCCGTTCCCTCGGTACAGTCGGGGCGTTGACCTAAGGAACCCTGAATAAGGAACGAGGCCCCTCTTTTTCCATAAGTTAACCTTCGATGTCAGATCGAAAACATAAGGAAAGCCTGAGGCAAGCTGTGAAACACTTAAGGAACGCGGAGCCCCTCCCCAACCAAAAGGGTTCCTTCTTCAGGGCCCCGACTGTATGAGAAGGGGAGTTGGGACGTGAGGGTGCGTTGCAACAGCGATGATGCCCAGTCGACTTTTCCTGGTCCCTCTCCTCCTCCTCCCCCTCCCACTCCTCGTACCTCCTCTCCCCCCCTCCTCCTGCCCCTCTTGCGCACCGTAGTCGATTAGCCACACATCTCAGCCTGATGTAGCAACTGCGCACGTGCGGCACGTGCACACATAGAAATCTCCCGAGACACATGAGAGACTAGTAACTGCACGCAGTGTACATGTCGTATGCAAGAACGATGCGCTGACAAGCAAGGTACCGATCTTCATCAGAGAGCTTCCTCGATGGACCAAGCCTGCAGTCAAGATGAAACTGCAAGGGACGCTCAGGAAACCAGACCTCGTGCACTGCATGCCACAGCAAGGGGCAACTGATATGGTGCATCTGCGAGTCCTTGGGCCCCTCGCCCTCGCAGCCGAACACACACTCGCTGGCGGTCCACGTGCTTTACCCTTCTCTCCGCCGTCCACCCCTGCGCAAAGAGTCTTGAACACGGGCATCTGCTACGAAATCTACGCGCTCGCAAGGCGTTCGCGAAGGCGGGGCCATGAGATTCCCTGACGGGCCTGAGCAGGTGGGGGCCAAAGCCCAGGGCGACAGCATTTCAATGAACGCTCCCAGCAACGCGTCCCGAAAAAGCAACGCCCCAACAGCACGAGCGAAGACCCTCTGAGTCTTGGCCCTGGGGTCCGAAAGCTGCGCCTCGGAACGGGCGCCCGTCGTAGCAGCGGCCCGCAGGACATGCGACAGGAGGGCGCCTTCCCTGGCCGCGCTCAGCTCCTGGACACAAGGCCTACAATGCCAGAGGGGAATGGGGCCATTGTCCTGCAACGAACAACACGATGGGGAGAAACCGTCTCGCCATCCTCTGCTGGCGCTGCCAAAACCACTTCTCGTTCGAGACCGTTTCCCTGGCCGCTCGCCGAGGAATGGAGACCGAGTGCGCCTTCGTTGAACGGGGCCTGACCTTAGACCAAGTCCTGAGGGCGAGGGGCTGAGGGAGGGGGGATGTAAAGAAGGCGGGGAGCCTGCGCAAGGGTGGGGGGTCGCGAGCTGGCGCAGGTAGGGGTACTCACTTCGGAATATTGGATTGTGGGCCAGCATGGACCTCTGCGACGTACACGACAACTTGCACCTTCGGGGGCGCCTTGCTACCCGAACGAGCAAATCCCGCGTCGCCCGCGCGCACCCCCGCCCCCGCACCGCACCGCTAAACGGGCCCCTCCTGCATCGCGCCGCCCATGGTTACGCGAAGGGTGAGGAGGGGAATCAGCATATGCATTCGCGCACGCGCAGACCTATACGCGTTCTGCACAACATACACATATGTATATATACATATGTGTATACATATGTGTGTATGAAGATTTCTTGCAAACCAACAGAGTGAAGGACACCCAACGGGAAGATACGAAAGAGAGAGGGAAGGCGCTACCGAAGCCAAGGAGAAGGAAGGAGGGAATGCGATTGAAATGTTTGCTCGGGCATCCCCAGGGTTCTTGCTGTCACTAGAATGGCCACATGTTTGTGGAATTTGCGCCCCCCGAGGGAACCTCGTTCGTCGGGGTGGGCCTGTCTACTGACTACATGCTTCAAGGTCATGTTGCAAGCAGAAGAACAAATCTCCGCATCCGAATTTGTCAAGTCCCCAGCAGCGTACAGGCAGGGCCCCGGGCTACCCTGATGCAGTCGCCCTCCTGCTTCCCCTCAGGAGCGAAAGCCAACGAAAGATCGCTGTCCAACCGGTGACAGCGCGCCGCGAAACATGACCTGGAGGAGGCCAAAAATAATCTCAACCGATGAGCGGGGGTTTGCTGCCGTGCGACATGCGGCAACCCGTCATGCGGTAATCAGTCAGGCCCAGGGGCTGTCGGCTTTGCGCGGCGAATCCCCCCCCCCTCCCCCCTGATCTGCACAACCGTCGGGAGCGATACATCGGGCCGAACGAAGTGCACCGCGCGCTTCTGCAAGCACTTCCGAACATGCTGCGCAAGGGCCCTTCCCCCATGAAGATGCAGGGCCCTGGCGCCTGTGGATAGACCTAGCCGTGCCCTGGGGGTCCGAGACCAGCGCGCCCTCAGGAGAAACCCGTCCTGGATGGGGCCCGCAGCTTGCCGCACCTGCGCGCAGCCTGCATGCGTGCCCTGAGCCTCTTCTTTTTCTGTGAAGCCGATGACTTTTGCGCCGCTGGCTCTGCAGACTGAAGCATCTGCTGCAAGCCGTTGTTGTAGGGGTTCATAGTCGCGACGAAACGCGACTGCGCACCTCGGCGACGCCGACCCCTGCAGCGGTACAAAGCGTTCCGCGGCGGCAGGGGCAGCGGCCTGCAGGCATGAGGTAAGGGCTGCGTCACCTTATTTAACAGTCTTGGAATCGAGCGACAATCAAGACCCCTGCATCGCGCTATGTAGCCCGAGCGCGGATCGACGAGCTTCCATCCGAGTCGCCCCCCAGGGTGAACGCTCATGCTCTCGCCACTCGGGCTACCTGGGGGGCAGGGGGGGCGGGGGAGAAGCAGAGAGAGAGAGAGGTAGCGCGAGACGGAGGAGGACTGGCAACGAAAACCAATTGTTGACCGCCACGCATATTTGGCATGGTCAGACATGCCGCGCTCATAGAACGACTCAGGCTTGTCCATCACCGCGGAGGCCAGGCGCCACTGGGGCAGCACTCAGCCAGGCGTGCCCGCGAAGACCTTGTCAAGCTCCGCGGGCATCTGGCCCTCCGCGATGAAGCGCGAAGGCTGCTCGAGGTCGAGCTCCGCCATTCTGCCCGGGATCCGCTCGCAGTCCTGCGCGTGCTCTCTCGAACGCGGAGCCGCCAAGACGCCCCTGTCGACCCCAGGCGTCGCCATGCACATGGCTGCCCCGCGGCGAACACAGGAGTCGCCGAGCACCGTCGCCGACGAGCGCGCCGGGAACTCCTCTGACGCGGCCACCTCCGTTGAGATAAGTTACGAACCAGCACCTGGCGCCCCGCGTCAACAAACAAGAAGACATTGCGCATGATATATATATATATATATATATATCGCCGATATCACGCCCTCACGCCTCGATGATCAAAATTTCCAGGCCCCCCGCCCCTGCCCCTCTAGACAATGACATTGACGCTTCTGTCCGGGCAGGGGGCGCGCCTGCACAAGACGCGCGAGCGCGACTCGTCGCGGGCCCGCCCCGTCATCAGGGCGAGCGACAACAGGTGCAGTGTGATGGTGAGGTATTCTGCGCCGCTGACGTGGACGTGTAACGGATCCCGTGACAACGCGCCGCGGCCCTGCGGCACCCCTCCCACTTGGGCCGTCCTCCCACTTGGGCCGTCCTGGTCCGTCCTGGGCCCCTTTTGCTGGAGGCACCTTAGGGGCTTCTTGGGCCTGTGGGGGTCTGTTGGCGGTCCCGGGGGTCATCTTGAAATTCACCACCCACCAAAACCCCCCAACCCAACCCGAAGGCCTCAATTTGCCTTCCATTTCCAAGTGGGAGGAGGGTCGGGATTCGGCGCCTTTCCCTCTGTTTCAACGCGCGCGAATCGCACGGCCGCCTCCCGCGCCGCCTCGGAACAGGGCGCCTGCGTCTCCGAGCGCCGCGGCAATCGCGCGGCCCGCGAAGCGACCTGAGACGGCCCGCCAGAAGAAGCGGAATCCGCCCAAAACCGCCACGTCTAGATCGAGGAAATTCCCGGCGAAGATACCCTTCTAGAGTAGAGGGGAACTGGAACACACAAATAAATACACACAAATAAAAAGATCCCCATATTTTCCCATATTTTCTGGGTTTTTGTCTTCCCCACCACTTCCCATATTTTTGCATATTTTCCTGGGAGTCGACGATTAATTGTGTCTGTGTGTTTCTTTCCCTCCTGATAGAGTCAAGCGGATTCATCGTCTAGGTTGTTTGGCTTAAGTCTGTGCTTTTCGCGTTTTGCCCGCAACTTGCACAGAAACACTTCTGGACGGCGTTCAAGTCAGTGTCTGGGCGCCTTGAAATTAAGTGTCTGGGCGGCCGTCTAGGCGCGTCGAAATTCGACGAGCGCCGCCCCGGCCGACCCGCCGCGGGGCGGGCTCGCCGGGCAAAATGAAAAAAAAAACAGCGCGACGCGCGGGCAGCAGAAGCCGCGCCTGAATGCCAGGGTTTTGCCATCGGACAGACAGAACAACAAGTCCCTCGGCAGCCTTCAGGCAAGCCAGGGCGCGCGCCATCGAAGCGCATTCGTCGGGCGCGCGGGGGGCGCCGAACAAAACGTTCGCTGCGCCTCCGCAGCCCCGCCCGCCCACGACGTGGGCCCGACGGGCAGGCGCGCAACTGCAACGAGAGCCACGCTCGCGCCCGCCCCCTGATCTTCGACCGAACCGCCGCAGGACGGGCGGAAAAGACCATGAGAAGGACCCCTGCCTAGGAGAATCTATAGAGGGGTAGGGGTGGGGGCCCTGAAAAAAAACGATTATCCCGGCAAAGCAACCTAACAGCGATGTGTAGGAGTATATCTGGAAGCATTCCCCTTAAGATTCAGATGATAATCCAGTTGTAGAATTGTGCTGTTCTCGCAGTCGTAGTCGCATTCGCGATGACAGTCGCAGTGGCAACGGCAGTCACAGACACAGCCTCAGCCTCAGCCTGCCTCAGCCTCAGCCTCAGCCTGCCTCAGCCTCAGCCTGCCTCAGCCTCAGCCTCAGCCTGCTTCAGCCTCAGCCTCAGTCTGCCTTCAGCCTCGGCCTCAGCCTCAGCCTGCCTCAGCCTCAGCCTGCATCAGCCTCAGCCTCAGCATCAGCCTGCCTCAGCATTCAAAATGTGGCCCGGGAATGGAGTTCTGGGAACTCGAAGAACACGAAGTGGCCTACAGTTGGCTCCGGGCATTCAAAATCATGCCCGGGAATGGAGTTCTGGGAACTCGAAGACCACGAAGTGGCCTACAGTTGGCTCCGGGCATCCAAAATCTGGCCCGGGAATGGAGTTCTGGGAACTCGAAGACCACGAAGTGGCCTACAGTTGGCTCCGGGCATTCAAAATGTGGCCCGGGAATGGAGTTCTGGGAACTCGAAGAGCACGAAGTGGCCTACAGTTGGCTCCGGGCATTCAAAATGTGGCCCGGGAATGGAGTTCTGGGAGAAGACCACGAAGTGGCCTACAGTTGGAAGAGTGGCCCGGGACGAAGTGTGTGACTGTTGGCTTAAAAGAGCACGAAGTGTGTGACTGTTGGCTTAAAACGACTTCTGCGGCACCTGTCCGGCACCCGCCCGGACCCCCCTGTGGAGTCATCTGCTGCTCTCTTTTGACCCTACTAGATACTAGAAACCTAGCATAACAAGCTGTTAAGTAAATGACTCAATTGATTCGCCCTCGCTTTCAGCTACAGCCGTCGGGCGGGGCCAGCAATGGCGATCGCATGGGGGATCCCTTCGTCGGCCGCCGCCCTATCGACCTCCTGCTGGGCGAGGCCCATCGGCCACGTCGAATCACTGCTAGCATCGCGTCTAAGGTTCGATATGCAAAGCGGCCTTCGCCCGTCTGAGAAAGATGCATTTGCTGCCGTGGCCCCTCGTCCGTGCTGCGTGCCTACTGCAAAGCAGCAGCGCGCCGTCGAACTCGCGTGGCCTTCCGCGTGATGGGGTTCTAATTCAGAAGTGCACGAGTGTTCCAGGTGGGGGAGAACGGGGGCCGCGGGGCAGCCCGACTCGATGGACCCTCACATCATCGCCGCGTGAAATCCGCCACTATGCTTCGTCAGAGGCGTGCACGATTGCAGGGCATCGTGCCAACGGTGCGTCCTTGCCCACGCCCTGGTTCTGAACCGCCGTGTAGTTCGATACTGCATTCGCGTCTTGGTCCTTTTCCACTCCAATCTCGAAGTTGACCATCGGGGCACCTTCCGCGCACGTGTCACTGCACCGAACTCGAAGACGTGCCGCAGCGGATTTTGTGTGGATTTCTGTCAATGCTAAGCTCAGAAGCGGCAAATGCACAACGCAATGAGCTTCGCATGGGTTTTGTTAATTTACATTCATGGCCCTCAAAATCCGCACGAAATTCACGTCGCAATCCGGAGCAACATTCTCCAGGACACTCAGGGCCCATCCTGTCGTTTTCCGAGCGAGATCCGCTTTGCGGTGTTGGCGTCAAGATATATAATGCCTTCGGTGCAATCGTGGCGTGCCCGCTTGCGTTCATACACTTCTTCGAAGCCCCCGAGCCCTCGTCGGACGAGGCTGCCTCCGTAGATCGACGACCGCACCTGTTTGCCTTGAAACCAGCAGCCCGTCATGAGGCACCTCCCGAGGCCTCTGGAGGGCCAGGACCAAGCACAGCACCGACAAGGGCCCGTCTGGACGTGCGTGCCGGCTTGGCGGGCGGCTCCCTACGCGGTTCCTTGGAGCGGGATCGCCTCTCCTTGGCAACAACTCCCTTAGCATTATCCTTCCCCTCAGGCGTATGAGGAACCCTTGGCGGAGCACGCGCAGGAAGAAACTGTGGCCAAATCGATTGTGGAATGTTGTGCGAGGTGAAGAAAAACAGCCGCCGTCGGGGACCCGACATACGACATGGAACAGGATGGCCCTGAATCTGTCGAGGAAGGGTGACGGATGGGCCAAAACGAATCAAAATCAGCTACGTCACCTGAGCGTCTTCCGTTAAACCTCGAGCCAAAATGGCCACGGACCCTGCCTCTCCTCCTCCTCCTCCTCCTCAACCCCCTCGTCTTTCCGCCCCTCGGGGCATGCGGCGGGGCCCGCCTGCGCGACCTGCAGGCTGGACGCCTCCCACAAGAACGTCTGGGCCCGAAGACAATGTTCCACCTCACTGTGCGGCATGAGAGCGGGGAGCACCCTCGACCAAAACAGGACAATGTAAACATTTCCAGGGATAGTGGCGTGGACGACTAAGGGTTAAGACGCCCGATGGAAACACGGTCAAGGCTACATGCGTAAATCTATGGTGGGGGAGAAATAAACAGCGAGACGCAATGGAACACTGGCGTGCCTAGATCCTATTTATGAATACGTGTGTACATATATATGTATATATATATGTATGCATGTGTACGTGTATATATATACACATAACTAGAATCTCGCACGCTACGCGATCACCTCGTCCTCGTCCTCGTCATTCCCCAATAAGTGTTTGCACTGATGAGGTCCTAGCGGATATTGGATGGAAGATTCGGCGAACATTTCCCACAAATATTGGTAGGCGGCTGGGTTCCTGGGTTCCCGGTTACGGGTTCCGGGGTTCCTGCTTATTGGTTCGGGGCAGATTCCGGGGCTCTGGGTTCCCGGGTTCCCGGTCGATCTCCTTATCGAACTCTTCACCGACCCCACGATTCATCAAACCATCCACCGATTGGGTTTTTCTCTGGTGTGATTATCACGTTTCCTCGTCCTATTTCATGGCACGCACGCAGTCCTGGAGGCCAAGAACAAGGGAACGGGGTCGCCAGTACGGCGGCGTCGTCGGCGTCAGCATCGTCGTGGGCGCGGGACGGGGAAGTGGACGGAGGGAGAAACGGAGAAGGGAGGGACAGAGGTAGTGAAGAAAGGAACCTGGGAAACAAAAGGGGCAAACAAGGAAGGAACGGAAAGGGAACGAGGGCTGGATCAGCAAATGATTAGGGATTATGTTTGCCACCTTATTTGTTTTCCCCTCCTCCTCCTCCTCTTCCTCCTCCTCCTCTTGCTCCTCCTCCTCCTCCTCCTCCTCATCGATATCCTCATCCCCATCCTCTGTCTCCGCACATCTCCTCCTCCTCCTCCGCGTCTTCTTAGCCGTGTCGGGGCCCAGATCTTTCTGCGCCCTTGCTAACGTTCACTTCGACACGGCGCGGCGTTAGCGAGCCAATTTGGTAGCTCCCGCGTCAAGCTCTCAGTATCTCTCGCCCCCGCATGGCGCCGCAGCGCAATGGTGGTGCAGGCAGCCGTCAGCCTGTGGCCACCTGGCGCTGCCAGTCCTGCGGGTGCAACCGCAACGTGCTCTCCTACTGGTGGTGCAAGCACTGCGGCAAGAAATGGCAGCCGCCCTCGGTCGGCACATATCGTGGGCCCCAAGGCGCTTGGCAAGATGGGAATGGTCTTCGTCTCTTCGATGCTGATCGTCCTCATCCTCCTCTGCGTCCTGGGCTTGTCACCGCTGGAGTTCCTCCACCACCGGGTGCGGCAGCCGAAGGTGGCGGACGTGGCGGTGCTAAGCTTGGCCTCTCCTCGACGGACCTCGCCCTCCTCGTGGACCTCACTGGCCGCGCGGGTGACCAGGCGTCGTCCGACAAGTACAAGGAGCAGCTCAACAACCTCACCGCCCGCCCCGCTCCAAACGTGCCGCTGGAGCAGCGGGTGGCCCAGTGTCAGCGTGAGCGACTCCGACTGGCCAAGAAGCTTCAACATGAGCTTGACAAACTCGACCGCTGGGAGAAGGAGATGGAGACGCAGCGCACTCACATCTCTTCCATCTCAGAGCAGCTCTCTCGTCAGGAGGAGTCCTACAGCGAGCTGGTTGGCAGGCTGGCGTCTGAGGTCCGCAAGGAGGCGCCGCCCCCCGAGGCGCCCAAGATCAACATCGAGGACCTGGTCGCTGGCAAATTTGATTCGTTCCAGATCGACCTCGGCTCTTCCCTCTCCTTCGACGCTGAAGACGAACTCGAGCTGTCCAAGGAGGACAAGGAGGAGCTTGACCGTCGGCAGAAGAAGTTGGCTGAAGGTCTATCTAAATTGTCCAAGGAGCTTTTCTCTCAGGCCTGGTCTCAGGCCAAATCCATTCGTGAACAACATGCTGAGCATCGAGCCCGCCTTCGCAAGAAGAGGAAGGGTGATGATGGCGACACCGTGCCCGCTGCTGCTGGAGGAGCTGGCCCTGCTGCAGGCGATCCACCGCGTCCTGAAGCCGGTGCTGCCGCGTCCTCTGGGGCTTCCGCGTCGGCTACGGGTCCTGCGCCGTCTTCCACGTCTGAGCCTCCTGAGTCCGCCCTTCTCAGTTCTGTCAAGGCCCGCGTGGCCAAGCTTCAGCAACAGGAAGCCCCCCCCTCGCAAGCTTGCGCGTGAGGGGGGGAATGCTTCGCTCTCAGTACACGTCCATCCAGGGGGCCCCGACCCCCCCCCTCAAGAACTTTTTGATCTCAAGGTCATCACGGTTAATGGAAATGCTTGGTCTTCTGTGAAAGACTGGCTTCCATCAACCAGCGCTCATATTATACTAATCCAGGAGCATAGGCTCCCCGCGGGAGACCCCGTCGACCAGGCCTCTGCGTGGTGCCTCTCTAACGGTTTCAAGTCCCTCTGGGCCCCAGGCTCCGTGGGCCCTCGAGGAGGCCTCTCTAGTGGTGTGGCGATTCTTGCTAGGTCTTGGCTAGGTATTCACTCTCCGTCTGACGGGGGAATTTTGTGGCCTCACCGAGCTCTCGCAGCAGTCGTTCACCCCCCAGGGGGCCAGTCCCTCCTCGTCTCATCCCTTTACTTGCGTGACTGTGAAGGGCTCTCGGACGCGAACCTCGAAATATTATCTGCTGTGGGTTCCTACATGGCTATCTCGGGGCTTCCCTTTATCTTGGGTGGAGATTTCAACATGGAGCCGTCCAGCCTCCAGCAGGCTGAATTTCCTCAGAATCTTCGCGGCCAAGTCGTTGCCACCACTAGCCCTACGTGTCATGGTGCTGGTGGGCCACGACTCTATGATTACTTTGTGCTGTCTGGAGGCCTATCTCAGGCTGTTAGCTCGGTTGCCATGATCGATGCGCCTTTCCATCCGCACACGCCGCCCCAGATCACCTTTCACGCTGGTCTGGCCGATCTGCACGTTCTGGCTTTTCGGAAACCTCCCCCGATCCCCTTCGAGGCCCCTTTCGGTCCTTGCCCGTGCCCCCCCACGTATAAGCAATGCTCGGCCCTCCTCGGGAAAGCCTTGCAGCGGGCTCGCGCTGGCCAGACCGATGTTCTCGACTCTCTTCTGACTAAGGCCTACAAGTGTTGGGCCAACACTGCAGAGCTTGAACTCTGCTCGATCATGGGTATAGCACTCCCATACCGTGGGGCGAGGGGCAGGGGACCTGAAACGTGGTGGCGGCCCGTTCTGGGCCGTGATCGCGGGTCGGTCCGCTACCCCGAGCTCCACAGTATGCGATGGTTATCCTCGGTGTTCCAGGCTTTTGTTTCTTCGTATATGGAGTTTCTGGAGGACTCCCCTTCTTTGCTCAGCGAGCTCGACCGACGAGCTCGACTTCTGGCGCAGCCACCTGATTTCATCAAGCATCACCAAGGTGAGTTTTCGGATACGTTCCAGGTTGCCGCTGATGTTGGCACGCTTTGGCTGGCAGCTGCATGTGCGGCTGACGTTTCTTGTGCTGGACCTGCTCCAGGGCCTGTTCTCGACCCTGCTCTCGTTGATGATGCTCGTCTGGCTATTTCTCAGGCTTTGGCTAAGTGTAATGACAAGTATAAGCAGCAGTCTCGGAAAGACTGGGCGTCTTGGTTGAACGAAGGGATAAATCAAGGTGCCAGGCGTGTCCACCAAGTCACCCGTGACCCTGCCGCGTGGCGTCCCACGTCCACCCTCAGCCGTTTCGGGAATATTGTTTCGGACCCGCAGGAGCTTTTGAGAGCTGAATCCAAGCGATTTGGCTCCTTGTGGAATGCGTCCCCTTGCCCTCCCAGACACGTGACTAAAGTTTTGGATCCCCTTCCCCTTGCTAGCATTGATCAAATTCGAACCTTATCCAGGAGCTACTCTCGTCGTTCTGCCGTCGCGTTGGACGGCTTTCACATGCGCCACTATCAATACCTCTCCGACGAGGCCCTGGAGTGTTTCGCCCTCCTCTTGCAGGTGATCGAAGTCAGCGCGGTGCTTCCCCAGCAATTGAGAGCCTTCATCGTGGCCCTGATCCCCAAGAAGGTCCCTGGCTTCCGACCCATCGGTGTTTTCTCCTCTCCCTTTAGGCTTTGGGGAAAACTTCGCCGTCCCTGGGCCCTCGAGTGGGAAAGACAGAATGATCGGCCCTACTGGGCCGCGGGGAAGCATCGGTCCGCCACCGACATTGTGTGGCGCCAGAGTTTTCGCGCGGAGGCCAGCACTTCGGCTGGCCAGCATGCAGCGTCGATATTTTGGGACCTTTTGAAGTTCTATGAGCTGATCCCGCTGCACATCCTTGAGGCGAGGTGTCATCGGCTCAGCTTTCACCCGGCTCTGATCGGGGTGTGTCTCGCCGCTTATCGATCGAGCAGGTATCTCGTTCTCAGTGGTGTCGTCGCTCCTGGGGTCTTCGCCGACACCGGTCTGGTCGCTGGGTGTTCTATGGCCACGACCCTCATTCGGGTCTTCGGTTTGGAGGCTTTCGACAGCCTCTCGCTCCCCCCCTCTGTCACCCTCGATGTGTACATCGATGACACCAGCCTCGATGGAGTTGGCAAGCTGGAGCCGTTGGTCGCTGACATGCGCTGCGCGGCCAGTCAGCTTGAGTTTGCGATTTCTCACTCCATGAAGGCTCACATTGCTCTTGACAAAGTTGGCATGGTTACCAGCAGTAAGGTTATATCCAGTAGGCTCCAGGAGGCCTTCGGAGATCTCGCGGGTCCCCCCTCGAGTCGGCTGTCAACCTCGGTCATGACCATGCTGCTGGTACCTCTAGGCGCGTCCGTGGACGCAATTCAAAGACTAAGGCCCGCCTGCTGTCTGCCACGCGCCGTGCGCGGAGGCTCGCCCGTCAGCGAGGAGTCATCGGCAGACGTGCAACTAAGGTTTTCTGTGCAGGTGCTCTCCCAGCACTGCAATGCGGTGCTGACGTGCATGGCATGTCGGACGCCGAGCTGTTGCGAGT